CCGGAGATGCTCCTTGTGCATCTCGACGTCCGTCTTCTCGTTCACAGCCCGGCTGTGAACGTAGACATCGTCGAAGTAGCTCGGTGCGAAGTCACGCACCGAGCGCAGTAGATGCGTGACGCATCTATTGAAAGTCGCAGGGGCGTTCTTCAGTTCTTGCGGCATTACTAGCCACTCCCAAAGCATACCGCTTGGGGTACTTACCGCCGTGAGAGGGGTATCATTCTCACGCATCAGGATCTGATAGAACCTGTCTCTCAGATCAAGAGCACTGTAGATGGTGCTCTTGGACATCGAATCGATGATGACATCTTTTCGAGGTATCGGCGTCTGCGCCGGTATCGTCGCATCGTTCAGCTTGTTGTACGCATGAACGATGCGCCAGCCACCCTGTGGCTTCTTGACACAGAACGTTGGTGCGCTGTGCGGGGATTTCGATTCCCGCACTTGTCCTGCCTTGCGACGACTTTTGAAGAAGTCGTCGATTACCTTCACTTGTTCCCGCGGCAGTGGCCACTGCCGCGTCACGCAATACTTCGTTCACGGCACGAGATCAATCTCGTGCTGAATTCCCTTGTCCTGCGGAAGCACCACAGGGATCTCGTCCGGGAGCACGTCTCTGTGCTCTCGCAGAATCTCGTAATAGGGACTCGACTTCAGTGAGTCCCAACTCTGCTCCTCGAAGCGTGTCTTGGCACTGAGAGTGTCCTCGCTCTCAGTGGCGCTTCCTGCGAAGCGTTGCCTCAACTCTTCTGCTTCGCTTGTCATTCTTTCGCGTTCCGAAAGAATGCATAGCTGTTCGATGCGTCCATCCTACAGGTCCTTAGCGAAGCGCTTCCAGCTCATGACTGGAAGCGAGGTCAACCCCGACGAATCAGTCTGAGGGTTCTCCAACTCCATCCTCTCGTACTGATACCCAGTACAGGCCTACGTCAAGACGTTCAACGTCTCGACGGCCACTGTCGGTACTTGTGTCTGCCCGGCAGACACACCATGAAGAGTCTCGGTCCCTGACCGAGACTTGCGCAACGTCTTTTGCTTGCGCCGTCGCACGCTTCTTCTTGTGAATCCCTGATTCACGTGCGTTTCGTCCAGGCCCGGCCATGGACGAACTTTCCTTGATTCTGCCGGCAGACATTCTAGTCTGCGGGCGACCGCCGGCGGGTTCTTGTACCCGTGGGTACGCGTCATCAAGCCCGACTTGATCGCCCTGCTTCGTGCAGCCCGGCTGCACGACAGCACTCAAGCTTTAGTGCTGGACGTTTGCAACCGTCCGCACAACTTGTTGCATCGACTCCGGGAGTCGATGCTTTGTCGTCATGTCTACGCCTTTCGGCGGAATAGTGTGTCGCAACTCCCAGAGCTGACACACCGTTGTCACCTCGACGCCTCACGGCGGAGAACTTTCTCGATTCTGATATCGAGCGCGTATCAACTCTCAGAATCTACACGCTGTTGTCACCTCGATGCCTTACGGCGAAGAACATTCTAGAAGCGTCTGGTCCCTGACCAGACACTCTTTTACTGTAAACGACTCCCGGAGTCGTTACAGCTCGCGCGCTCCTCGCGCTGCGACCGGAGACAGCGGCGCGAGCCACTGTCTCTGAAGGAGGTTCGGATGCACCGTTAGGTATATCCGCTGCGCTAACAGGTCCATCGCTCACTGTTGCGCCGCGGTGTCCGAAGCGTACGACCGTACGCTTCTCCCAG